TAGTCTGCTGACATTTCTCAGTTACATGTGTCTTTTGATATAAAACACAACGTATAAATTAACCAGAAACAGCGAACAGGCATATTACTGCCATTAATCACGGATGTGTATTGAGAGCTATAACAGAAAGTCGGAAGAGAACACAGCAGCGAGTATGATTTATTCTCATTGTAACATCATTCTTCTTGACATCATTTTACTACTATTAGTCATAGATCTACTCATTAATTCTGAGCGATTGATTTTCTTTTTCATTAAAAAAAAAGAAAAAAAAAACTACATCCAGTTTTCATTCCAAGTCCCATTAAAAATTGTTACATGTTAAATCATTACATTCTTTCGACGTCATTTAAATTTCCAAATCATTGCAATGTTATCTTTGTATATCGAATAAAATTCGAGCGTTTGGAACGTTGTAGGTTTGAACGAGGAAAGAAAGAATTGTAAAACAGGATATCAACTGCCAGCAATTTACTCGCTGATCCTATAATATCGTCATTCAATATTTAACAAATTTCGCCTGATTCGCAGACGACGATCTACGCAGGCAATAGCAGAGGCAATCATTCAAGCCGATTTATCACATGGCCCGAGCGAACACCGGCGGCCATACATTCTGACTCCAATTTACATCCGAAATCCATTTGGCCGATATGGCATTCGTCACGACATTTGGGTCGATCTACGACTTCTTGAGCACATTCCTTCAGTCGGTCACGCATCTCAGTTATGAAATCAACAGTGCACGCACGCAGGTTTTCCATGTGTGATTCTGCGAACTTAAGCGAAGTGACAATTCAACCGTGTGCAATACAAAGTCAAATAAATAACAGGGGAAATTGGATATACAGGGAAACAGTGACAAACAGCCAAACATCTCGAGTAAGACATATTAACTAGATTCCCGAGAGTGCTATAATCTCTCCTGTATGTCACTCGTTGCACGCTCGGAATATACATGCACGTAGCAAGCAAAGACTACAGAGTTCCTTTAGATAGCGACCCTAACTCATCAATTGATTTCAAACAAACAGACATTGAATTAATATTTCATAACATTTCTTCATTTCTAGAATGATAGTATTGTAATACTTTAAAGAATTTGCATTAAGAATGTGCGTACGTTTTGTCAACAGAGATGTGAAACTATTGATTTATACTGAAAACGGGAAATAACATAAAAATGCTCCGCATCTAATAGACATATATTGCCTTTAAATCAAATAAGATGTGCTAGCATTTTCGCAAAGCAATTCTATCGAGCATCCCATTTATGTACGTAGCTATATAGCAATTTTTTTCTTTCTTCCTTTAGTATCCCGCCACTACTACAGCAATTTATCTTTCTTTCTGCTCCACGCGAGATCACCTTAGATATGTAGGATTCAAGTAGCCAGAGCACGCACGCACGCAAAAGTATCATTACACCATAAAACGTGAGCTGATCCTTTAAGAATAACGATACATATCGGTTAGCTTGTACATATTTTTATTCATTGACATATTTCTTCAATTATGTGACTCTAATTACTCATTTGATACTGTTAAGGGATTTTTTATAAACTTGACAAGAAAGAATTATGATTTTTAGTTCAAGTTTATCGAATTTACTTGAATTACTTATTTTCATTATGTTTATCAATAGTAATATTATTATTATTATTGTCGCAATTGAAACAGATGTTGATTGTTAATTGAAACTTATCAATAGTTTTTGAAGTGGGACAAAATGATCGGTTCCTTGCATTCTTGTGATTTCCGATTGATGGTTGGTTGATAGATTGATTGATTGACTGGTAAAGTTTGGCAGTTTTGTTTAAAGTGTATATATATATACTGAGAGTATATTGTTGTAAATTGTAGCGAGTACTGCTGAATTCTTTCTGACGTGACGATTGAAGTGATACTGACACTGATACTGGCAATGCGCTTTTTCTGATGAATCACCGACAAAATCATGGAAATTAGGAAGAAAGATAATTAAAAGAAAAATAGTGGGCAGATAGTTTAAGAAGATTTTGATGGCTTGGTGAAAAGTTCCAATTATGATTAGAATGTTATTAATACTGTCTTCAACTATTTTACAGTCCCTTGATCAAACGTATGAAGCTTGCAACAAACTTTTGTACACCTGTTTACAGCATGTAATTGTTTTAATTAATCAAGAGTTGTCACACAAATATAACATGTATCTCAGCTGCCAATTATAGTTAACTAATATTTGATATCAATCTAAACGAACGTATCTTATTTTTTAACATAGATGTTATTAATCTTCGCCAAGTCTTTAGTATTTAAATGTCCTATATTGGGCTCCTCTATACTGAGCATGATCCGAGCCCATAAGAAAATAATATGAGAAGACCATAAGCCAAATCGGATATCGATAAAGTCTACCGTAAAGTCCTATTAATTTCTATTCAAAATTTAATACATACGATTCCACCATTAATTCAAATCCCTTTTGGCAGATAATTGATATAGGCAGATGTACGTGAAAAAAGTTGAAAAAGTCCACTTTAATTGCTAGTATTTTCATTCTCGACTATTTAATTGACTTTGGCTGTGCAGCGCTACTGAATGTTACATTCGATTTGAAAGTATTATATTGCTTTTAAAGAGAAACATATTTTTTTGTACGATCATTGATTATGTTATCCTTACTTTGCATTTGTTTCAAACGAGTCCAATACTTTTATGGAAAAATTTTTTTAAAACCATATAGAAGAAATTAATACATTTGCATTTCCCATTGAAATTCCGTAACCTTGTACAACGTTTGAAAAAGTAAAGAATTCAAGAAATGCAAATGATTTTTGAATAACGAAAATCCGCAAATTCTGTAACATCTGCTGTTCTATATTAAAAACAAAGAGGTACTGCATACCATTTAAAAATAAATTTAAAATTTCCAGAAATTCTTTGCCCATAAAAAATTATTACTGGCAGTTACATTTTCCTTCGTATTATAAAACTTTTATACGCAAAATCTATAAAAATATCAAAGATATTCAAAATAATCGGTGTTATGCAAATGCATATTGCTAGCTTGGTATTTTTTT